TTGGTTTAGATCTGGTTTAGATCTTGGTTTAGATCTTGGTTACACCTACTTTAGATCTGGTTTAGATCTTGGTTACACCTAGTTTAGATCTGGTTTAGATCTTGGTTTAGATCTTGGTTACACCTAGTTTAGATCTGGTTTAGATCTTGGTTTAGTTTAGATCTGGTTTAGATCTTGGTTAGACCTAGTTTAGATCTTGGTTTAGATCTGGTTTAGATCTTGGTTAAACCTAGTTTAGATCTGGTTTAGATCTTGGTTTAGATCTGGTTTAGATCTTGGTTTAGTTCTGGTTTAGATCTTGGTTAGACATGGTTTAGATCTTGGTTTAGATCTGGTTTAGATCTTGGTTAAACCTAGTTTAGATCTGGTTTAGATCTTGGGTTAGATCTGGTTTAGATCTTGGTTTAGATCTGGTTTAGATCTTGGTTTAGATCTGGTTTAGATCTTGGTTTAGATCTGGTTTAGATCTTGGTTAGACCTGGTTTAGATCTTGGTTTAGATCTGGTTTAGATCTTGGTTTAGATCTGGTTTAGATCTTGGTTAGACCTGGATTAGATCTTGGTTTAGATCTGGTTTAGATCTTGGTTAAACCCTGTTTAGATCTGGTTTAGATCTGGTTTAGATCTGGTTAATCTGGTTTAGATCTTGGTTTAGATCTGGTTTAGATCTTGGTTTAGATCTTGGTTTAGATCTGGTTTAGATCTTGGTTTAGATCTGGTTTAGATCTTGGTTAGAACCTTTAGACTGGTTTAGACTGGTTAGACCTGTTCAGACCCTGGTTCAGACCTCTGGTTCAGACCCTGGTTGACTTGGTTTAGACCTTGGTTTAGACCTTGGTTCAGACCCTGGTTCAGACCTTGGTTCAGACCCTGGTTCAGACCCTGGTTTAGACCCTGGTTCAGACCTTGTTCAGACCCTGGTTCAGACCCTGGTTAGACCTGTTTAGACCTGGTTTAGACAGACCTGGTTCAGACCCTGGTTTAGACCTTTTAGACCCTGTTTTTTGTTCAGACCTGGTTTAGACCCTGGTTTTGGTTTAGACCCTGGTTCAGACCTGTTTAGACCCTGGTTTAGACCCTGGTTCAGACCCTGGTTCAGACCCTGGTTTAGACCCTGGTTTAGACCTTGGTTTAGACCCTGGTTCAGACCCTGGTTCAGACCCTGGTTTAGACCCTGGTTCAGACCTGGGTTCAGACCCTGGTTTAGACCCTGGTTTAGACCCTGGTTTAGACCTTGGTTCAGACCCTGGTTCAGACCCTGGTTTAGACCCTGGTTTAGACCCTGGTTCAGACCCTGGTTCAGACCTGGTTCAGACCCTGGTTCAGACCCTGGTTTAGACCTTGGTTCAGACCTTGGTTTAGACGGGGACTAGTCCTGGTTATATTTACTGAATTATTCCGGGTCTTTCTGAATCCCGACCGGACGGTTTCGGCGTCACTGAAGTCCAGACTTTGTCCAGACTTTGTCCGTTCTTCCAGTGACTTCACGGTTCATCCTCCCGCCGTCACGAGTTTCTCTCTCACTCCAGACTTTCTTTCTGTTGCTCGATTACCGTTTTCAGCTGCAGATTTCATGACTTGCCGCTTGTAATCTGCAAAATCTGATTTTCTGTTTGAGATCGAACTTTTCTGTTCACACATTTGATAATTGTGCTGATGAACTGACTGACCGCTCACTAGCTCAGGCTCAGTAGGTCAAACCGCTTTAATGATGCAGTTTAAAAAAAAAAAAAAAACCCTAGAGACGTCATTTTATGGAATTTTGATATTAGAGGATAATTCTGACATAACATTCAGACATTACAAAACATTCCAGGTGAATAAACAACAGTGACGGTAAAACAAGGTGCTGCTGCGACCTGAGACGTAACTGACTCCATCCTCCCTGCGGCTACAGAATCTAATGTTATGAGAGCAAATTAAACAATTAAGATCCAAACAGGACATGATATGTTATTCTAAAGGGTGTGGGCGAAAGTTCACGCACCACGCAAAAGTCTACAACAGCCGACGAGAAAACCGGTTTGAATCGTACACTGTGCAGAGCTCCAACAGGAACAGTAATGTTAACCACTCTGCCGCTTCGTGCGCCTCTCCCAATGTTCGCAAACGAGAAACCCATCTGCACCGTCACATGACCCCTACAGCAACGGTAACTACGCCGCCATGACACCGGGCAACACTATGTCATTGACTTCAGTAACATCGGAGAAACATGGGCAGGTTTTGTTGTGTATTTGGTTGTTCTAGACCAGGGGTGTCAAACTCATTTTGGTCTGGGGGCCGTATCCAACCTACTTTGATCTCAAAGGGGCCGGATCAGAAAACTCATGTCATATAAACCCAAAAATAACAATAAGTTCAAATATTTGTGCAGAGAAACACAAATCTGTTACAGGAATCTTTTTAATTGATGAACTCTTTCTTTTACAAAATATAATGTATATATAATATATATATATATATACATATACATACATATACATATATATATATATATATATATTATATATATTATGAACAACCTGAAACTTTAAGAAAAATGTAATTTCAACACAATGTTTTAACATGAACTTGTGCAAATAGGAATAAGTCAGTTTTTGTTGTAAAATCCTGCACTCGGCTCCACTTTTCTCATGTTGGACATTTTTCTGATGAGGGTGTCACGGTCAACAGTCAAAACGATCGTCCTTTAAGAGCGTTTGGAAAGAGACAAGTCTTCATTTGTGCTGCTCTGGTGGGAGGGGCCACGTACAGAGGCACTGGAGACGCTGCTCTGCTCAGCACCGCAAAAAATTAACAAGATTTTAATTAAAATATTTAAGTTGAAAATCAGCCAAGGGCCAGATTAAAGGTCTTGGAGGGCCGGATCTGGCCCCCGGGCCTTATGTTTGACACCTGTGGTCTAGACGCTCTGAAAGGGATAAAACGATTTGTTTCTTCACTGTTCCTCTGGAAATGACTCATCAGAATCAAACAAGGGAATCATTGAAAAAAAGACGCGGATTATGGCTCGCAAAAATAAACCGCAAAGAGATTTCTTATGGTACCATCTAGAAATGGGCATGATTAGTCGATTAATCGATAATTGATCATTAAGAATTTCATTGATTAGGTTCATTTTAATTGACAAACTGAATGTATGTTGCTGTGTGTCGTGACCAAACAGGTGTGTACATGTGTCTCTGCATCAGAAGGAGCGAGACACAAACAGTGGGTCAGTCTGTAACGAACCGAAGCACAAATGTGGATTTAACGATGATTTGTACAAGAAATTCCACACTTTCCGTTGCGTTGGGACAAGTGTGAGTCCATGTGCACAGTGGATAAAGCAGCACATATGTTTCTGTGTCCAGTGGGAAAAAGTTTTACCAGGTGAGAGTCGCTCAATGTGGATGACGAGGCCCCGCCCCCCTCCCCCCGTACGCTGTCCTGGTTTTGACAAACACAAATCTGGTCACACTGACCTGTATTCACCTGAGTCATGTCTTTTAATCCAACACAAGTTGAACCACATCAGCGACACAAGAGCTGGAGTTTTATCTTCACTTAGTTTATGTAAATTAGTGATGTGGTTTTAAGTTTTGTTTCTGTGAGATTTGAACAAAACTGAATTAAACACATTATAATGTCAAACAGCTGATGTGGCTCTAGAGTCGTTATGTTTATATGTCGTAAAGTTGAATTTATTTATGCAGATTAGTGCAGATAGTAATAATAATGATGATCATTTTAATATAAAAACGTTAATGATTAATCGATAATCGATCGTTAATTCTTCCGACGATCGATTAAGAAAATTTCATCGAATGCCCATCCCTAACCCAAACCATGAAAAAAATGCGACTTATAGTCCAAGAAATACAGTAGAAAATAACATGACACAAAACTCACTGTACACGACGACTGGACAAACCTGATGTGGTGTGTGGCTCTGAAGGGGGAGTGACCCGCAAAGGGAGGCGAAACAAAACATGTCAATATGTTGTTTTTGGAGAATGTAGCATTTTCAAAACAATAAAAGGAGCACGGTGATCTCAATATGTGACGTGTTACAGTTAACACCAATCTGTGTGTCTGTTGTTCATTCATTTTTCAATATAAAACCAAAAATAAGAAAATGAAAAAACAACAGTTTTCTTCATTATTTGTCTCCAAAACCAAAATGAAAAAACAGATAATGATTCGTTTTTTCAGTTTTCGATTTTGTGTTTAAATGAAAAATGGAAAAAACGGATAACGGCCGTTTCCCGTTTACGTGACTTCAGTGACTGTGATGTCGGACTGAATCAGGACTGATCCAGGTCCAAGACCAGAGCGGGACCAGAGCGGGACCAGAGTGGACTCCGAGCTTTGACTCCAAGCCTCCGCGGGGTCTGAGCCTCTGGTCTTGTCTCGGTCTTGTCTCGGTCTCAGTCCCGCTCTGGTCCCGGACCTGGATCAGTCCTGGTTCAGTCCGTACGTGGTGCAAAAGTCCGGCATCACAGTCACAGAAGTCACGTAAACGGGAAACGTCCGTTATCCATTTTTTCCATTTTGGTTTTGGAGACAAATAACGAATTAAACTGTTGTTTTTTCGTTTTCTTATTTTTGATTTTATATTGAAAAACGAATGAACGAACGACACACAGATTCACACCCTCTAGAATTAAAATACACCCCCACTTTAAAGCTGCATTGTGTAACTTTTGTGGTGGAGGGCACTAAACCATCACGACATCTATTTTTCTTGATATTTTTGAAGCTATAAAACCACCTGTAATTGAATAAATGTAAAGTGGAGCTGCAGAACATTCCAGACAGAGCAGCGACACAAAGTTCCACGGTGCGCCTTTAACGTTTCAGCACGAGCTGCGACAGACCTCAGCGTCTTGTCTTTTCGGCAGGACTTTTTGCCACGTGTCACAAGTTGTACCATTTGTTTCACTCGCTCTTCCTCTCTCCTCGTCCGTCATCATGTCTCGTATTGATTTTGTTTTGTTTTGTTTTGTTTTGTTCCAGGGCCGCTTCGTGGTGCCAGTCCCGGAGCCGAGCCAGAGCCGGAGGGTGGTGGTGTCTCACAACGTGGACAAGGCGCTCAAAGAAGGTAAAGAGGTGTTCTACGTGTGTCTCTATGGTGGAATGTTCAGACGTTATCGAGGTGATTCAATCCACACATCAGCAAACGGTGTCAAAACTGTTTTAAGATGATCTGAAAACTCAAAGAACAGAACATGCTTTAAAAATAGTCTAAAACCTCAATTAAAAAACAGAAAATGATTTTAAGATTGTTTGAAAATCTGTGTGTCCTTCGTTCATTCGTTTTTCAATGTAAAACCAAAAAATAAGAAAACGAAAAAACAACAGTTTTCTTTATTATTTGTCTCCAAAACCAAAATGAAAAAAACAGATAATGATTCATTTTTTCAGTTTTCGAATTTGTGTTTAAATTAAAAATGGAAAAAAGCGGATTTACGTTTCCGTGACGTCTGTGACTGCGATGCCGGACTGAACCAGGACTGATCCAGGTCCGAGACCAGACCGCAACCAGAGCGGGACCGTGACCGGGACCAGGACCAGAGTGGGACCAGAGTGGGACTGAGACCGAGACCAGACCGGGACCAGGGCGGGACTGAGACCGCGACTCAGACCGCGACTGAGACCAGGACTGAGACCGCGACTGAGACCGGGACCAGAGCGGGACCGTGAGCGGGACCGTGACCGGGACCAGGACCAGAGTGGGACCAGAGCGGGACTCAGACCGGGACTCAGACCGGGACCAGAGAGGAACTGAGACCGGGACCAGACCGGGACCAGGGCGGGACTGAGACCGCGACTGAGACCGGGACTGACCGGACGACTGAGACCGAGAGACCGGACTGAGACCGGGACTGAGACCGGGAGAGACCGGGACCGCGACTGAGACCGCGACTGAGACCGGACTGACCGGAGACCGGACCGACCGTGACCGGGACCGTGACCGGACCGGGACCAGAGTGACTGAGACCGAGACACAGGCGGGACTGAGACCGGACTCAGACCGCGACTGAGACCAGGACTGAGACCGGAGAGACCGGGACCAGACGGGACCGTGAGACCGGACCGACCAGGAGAGTGACCAGACGACCGAGACGACGGAGACTGAGACCGAGACCGGGACTGAGACCGCGACTCAGACCGAGAGACTGAGACGAGACGGGACTGAGACCGGACTGAGACCGGACTGAGACCGACTGACTGAGACCGCGAGAGACCGGACTGAGACCGGGACCAGACACCGTGACCGGGACCGGGACCGTGACCGGACCGGGACCAGACCAGAGTGGGACCGACCGAGACCGGGACTCAGACCGGGACCAGAGAGGAACTGAGACCGGGACCAGACCGGGCCTGAGACCGAGACAAGACCGAGACAAGACCGAGACAAGACCGAGACAAGACCGAGACAAGACCGAGACAAGACCGAGACAAGACCGAGACAAGACCAGACCGGAGGCTCAGAGCCCATGGCAGGGCCGGAGCTTGAAGCTGAGGCTCGGAGTCAAAACTCGGAAAAAGCTCGGAGTCAAAGCTCGGAGTCAAAGCTCGGAGTCAAAGCTCGGAGTCAAAGCTCGGAGTCAAAGCTCGGAGTCAAAGCTCGGAGTCAAAAGCTCGAGTCAAAGCTCGGAGTCAAAGCCTGGTCCCGGTCTGGTCCCGGTCTGGTCCCGGTCTGGTCCCGCTCTGGTCCTGGACCTGGATCAGTCCTGGTTCAGTCCGTACGTGGTGCAAAAGTCCGGCATCGCAGTCACTGAAGTCACGTAAACGGGAAACGGCCGTCATCTGTTTTTTCCATTTTTCATTTAAACACAAAATCAAAAACTGAAAAAACGAATCATTATCTGTTTTTTTTCATTTTGGTTTTGGACGCAAATAATGAAGAAAACTGTTGTTTTTTGTTTTCTTATTTTTGGTTTTATATTGAAAAATGAATAAACGGACAAAAGGACACGCGGCTTCTGTTGAAACCTTGTGTTAAAAAGTCTTCAAACTCCCCGTGTAAATCATCTGACGGCCGCAGTCTGTGTTAAAGCGTCTGGATCGGTCACGGCCTCTTATTTCATTACGTCGTTCGCCGCCTCCGTCTGAGGATCTGCTCGGCTCCCGACAGATCGGACGCTTCCTTCAATGCTCCTCTTTGTCCCAGTCCAGCTCTGATTTTCATTATCATTTCATTTAATTTGTTATCTTGTCACTAAACAACAATTATCCAATCAGGACTCGGCGTGCGGTTCAAAAACACAGCGCAGAAGTGAACGGAGTCACTGCGGTTGTCAAAAGTATCGACAGTCAGACGCAAATCGATACTAAAACGAGTACAGTAACTGGATACTCGTTTTTCGCCGGTATCGATACTAGAAAAGTCCAGTTCACCAGGACTGAACCAGGACTGAACCAGGACTAAACCAGGACTGAACCAGGACTGAACCAGGACTGAACCACCAGGACTGAAACCAGGTGAAACCAGGACTGAACCAGGACTGAAACCAGGACTGAAGCTAAACCAGGACTAAAACAGGACTAAATCAAGACTAAACAGGACTAAAACAGGACTGAACCAGGACTAAACCAGGACTAAACCAGGACTGAAAACCAGGACTAAACCAGACTGAACCAGGACTGGACTGAACCAGGACTGAACCAGGACTGAACCAGGACTGAAACCAGGACTAACCACTAACCAGGACTGAACCAGGACCCAGGACTAAACCAGGACTGAACCAGGACTGAACCAGGACTAAACCAGGACTAAACAGGACTAAACCAGGACTGAACCAGGAAACCAGGACTGAACCAGGACCCAGGACTGAACCAGGACAAACCAAGACTAAACCAGGACTGAACCAGGAAACCAGGTCTAAACCAGGACTGAACCAAGACTGAACCAGGACTAAACCAGGACTAAACCAGGACTGAACCAGGACTGAACCATTTTCAGTCCTGGTCTGGTCCCAGTCTCAGTTCTGGTCCTGTTCCTGGTCTCAGTCCCAGTCTCAATCACGACCTGGTCCTGGTCTGGTCCCGGCCTCAGTCCTGGTCTCAGTCCCGATTGGGTTCCGGTCTGGTCCTTGACCTGGTTTAGACCTGGTTTAGTTCTGGTTCAGTCCTGGTTTAGTTCTGGTTTAGACCTGGTTTAGACCTGGTTTTAGTCTTGGTTTTAGTCTTGGTTTTAGTCCTGGTTTTAGTCCTGGTTTAGTCCTGGTTTTAGTCTTGGTTTAGTCCTGGTTTTAGACCTGGTTTTAGTCCTGGTTTAGACCTGGTTTAGTCCTGGTTTAGTTCTGGTTTATTCCTGGTTTTAGTCCTGGTTCAGTCCTGGTTTTAGTCCTGGTTCAGTCCTGGTTTTAGACCTGGTTTAGTCCTGGTTTAGTCCTGGTTTTAGACCTGGTTTAGTCCTGGTTTTAGTCCTGGTTTAGTCCTGGTTTTAGACCTGGTTTAGACCTGGTTTTAGTCCTGGTTTAGTCCTGGTATAGACTGGTTTAGACCTGGTTTGACCTGTTTTAGACCTGGTTCAGTCCTGGTTTTAGACCTGGTTTAGACCTGGTTTAGACCTGGTTTAGTCCTGGTTTAGACCTGGTTTAGTCCTGGTTTAGTCCTTGGATCAGTGAGTATTTTATTTTCACACGCAGCTTTTTTGAACGATAAAGTGACGTAAAAACGTCCTGATAAAAGTTACGGACGGAACGAGACTCGGACGTGATGAAAATGAAAACCAGATCCTCCCTCTTTTCCTCTTTTCCTCTTTTCCTCCTCTCATCACACACACGCCTCTGTCAGTCTCTCTCTCATCTCTGTCAGTCTCTCTCTCTTCCTCCTCTCATCACACACACGCCTCTGTCAGTCTCTCTCTCTCTCTCTCTCCTCTTTTCCTCCTCTCATCACACACACGCCTCTGTCAGTCTCTCTCTCTCTCTCTCTCTTTTCCTCCTCTCATCACACACACGCCTCTGTCAGTCTCTCTCTCTCTCTCTCTTTCCTCCTCTCATCACACACACGCCTCTGTCAGTCTCTCTCTCTCTCTCTCTTTTCCTCCTCTCATCACACACACGCCTCTGTCAGTCTCTCTCTCTCTCTCTCTCCTCTTTCCTCTCTCTCTCTCTATCACACACACGCCTCTGTCAGTCTCTCTCTCTCTCTCTTTTCTCCTTCCTCCAGTCTCTCTCTCTCTCTCTATCACACACACGCCTCTGTCAGTCTCTCTCTCTCTCTCTCTCTCTGTCAGTCTCTCTCTCTCTCTCTCTCCTCTCATCACACACACGCCTCTCTCTCTCTCTGTCAGTCTCTCTCTCTCTCTCTCTCTTCCTCCTCTCATCTCTGTCATCATCACACACACGCCTCTGTCAGTCTCTCTCTCTCTCTCTCTCCTCTCATCCTCCTCTCTCTCTCTATCACACACACGCCTCTGTCAGTCTCTCTCTCTCTCTCTTTTCTCCTCTCATCTCCTCTCTCTCATCACACACACGCCTCTGTCAGTCTCTCTCTCTCTCTCTTTTCCTCCTCTCATCACACACACGCCTCTGTCAGTCTCTCTCTCTCTCTCATCACACACACGCCTCTGTCAGTCTCTCTCTCTCTCTCTTCTTCCTCCTCTCTGAGTCTCTGTCCATTCATCACCAGTCTGTCAGTTTCTCTCCTCCATCCTTCCTCCTGTCACTGTCCTTCACATCCCTCTCTCTCTCTCTCTCCGTCTCTCCATCTCTCTCCAGTCTCTCTCCATCTCTCTAAACCATCTCTCTCCAGTCTCTCTCTCCAGGATCTCTCTCTAAACTCTCTCTCTCTCCTCTCTCTCTAAACCAAACCAGTCTCTCTCCATCTCTCTCCATCTAAACTCTCTCTCATCTCTCTCAGGTCTCTCTCCATCTCTCTCCAGGTCTAAACTCTCTCTAAACTCTAAACTCTCTCCATCTCTCTCCATCTCTCTCCATCTCTCTCCATCTCTCTCCATCTCTCTCCATCTCTCTCCATCTCTCTCCGTCTCTCTCCGTCTCTCTCCATCTCTCTCCATCTCTCTCCGTCTCTCTCCGTCTCTCTCCGTCTCTCTCCATCTCTCTCCATCTCTCTCCATCTCTCTCCGTCTCTCTCCATCTCTCTCCATCTCTGTCTCTCTCCATCTCTCTCCGTCTCTCTCCGTCTCTCTCCGTCTCTCTCCGTCTCTCTCCGTCTCTCTCCGTCTCTCTCTGTCTCTCTCTCTCTCCATCTCTCTCCTCTCCATCTCTCTCCGTCTCTCTCCGTCTCTCTCCGTCTCTCTCCGTCTCTCTCCGTCTCTCTCCGTCTCTCTCCGTCTCTCTCCGTCTCTCTCCGTCTCTTCGTGTAGAATCGTGAGAAAACCGTATCGTTAAGGGCGTTAAAGACGACATGCAGTGCTCGCGTGCGCTCTACACCAACCAAGTCGGGGAGTAACAGATTACATGTACCGGAGTAATCAGAGTACAAATGATGAGTAACTGTATTCAGTTACAGTTACTGTTTCAGTGAGTGGGAATTGGATTACAGTTACTTTGTTGAAATAAATGGATTACACAGAGGGATTTTACTGTTTTCACATTTTGGACTATATCCCTTTTTTTTCTTTTTTCCCCCTGTTTTTTTTTTGTTTTTAACCAAGTCTAAACCAGGACTAATTCAGGACTGAACCAGGACTGAACCCAGGTCTATTCTAGATCTAAACCAGGACTAAACCAGAATTAAAACCAGGTCTAAACTAGGTCTAAATCAGGTCTAAACCAGGACTAAAACCAGGTCTAAACTAGATCTAAACCAGGACTAAAACCAGGTCTAAACTAGATCTAAACCAGGACTAAAACCAGGTCTAAACTAGATCTAAAACCAGGTCTAAACCAGGTCTAAAACCAGGTCTAAACCAGGTCTAAACCAGGACTAAAACCAGGTCTAAACCAGGTCTAAACCAGGTCTAAACCAGATCTAAACCAGGCCGGGACTGAGACCATGACTTAGACCGGGACCAGAACAGGACCGAGACCAGGACCGAGACCGGGACTGGGACCGGGACTGAGACCGGGACCGGGACCGGGACTGACCGGGACTGGGACCGGGACTGGGACCGGGACTGGGACCGGGACTGAGACCGGGACTGGGACCGGGACTGAGACCAGGACTGAGACCGGGACTGGGACTGGCACCAGACCGGGACCCGACCGAGATTGAGCGCGGGACCAGACCAGGGCTGAAAACCGTCCGTCATCACATTTTAAGTGACGTAAACGGGAAACAGTCGTTATATTTTTTCCACTTTTCATTTTAAAAAAACTGAAAAAAACAAAAAATGAATCGTTATCTGTTTTTTCATTTTGGTTTTGGAGACAAATAATGAAGAAAATAGTTGTTTTTTTTTCGTTTTCTTATTTTTGGTTTTATTTTGAAAAACAAACAAATGAATGACACGTGGATGGTGGAGCCTGATTGTCCGGATCATGTCAGAGGAGCCGACGAGCGTCCGCCGAACGACCGGAATTATGTTTTAAGAAGAATAAATGTGAAACGTGATGGAGGAATAAATAAATTTGGCTTTAAAATGAAAGCGCTCATGTAAATGTGTCAACTGTTTTGGACTTTGCCTGATTCTTTGCGCTCGTTTCAGTGTTTGACTTGGCGTACAGAGACTACATCCTGTCGTGGTACGTGCCGCTGAGCCAGGACGAGGGGCAGCTCTACTCCATGCTGTCGGACGACTGGTGGCAGATGATGGCGCAGCTCCGCAGCCGACTGGCCCATATCGACGTGGTCAACGTGGTCTGCTACGACTCCATACGAATCCTGCACACGCACTTCACCGACCTCAAGGCTGCATCTGCGAGGTACAGGCTAGAGCCCGACCGATATATCGGTTGGTCGATATTATCGGCTGATATGAGCACCTGGAAGCATATCGTCTATCGGCCGATATGTTTGCTTATATGGGCCGATATTTCCCATGGGCATGTGATACCTCGTTATAAATCTTAGACTCTCTACATTATGTTCATTTAAACCAGGCATGTCCAAACTATGGCCCCGGGGCCAAATGCGGCCCTCAGACAAATTTTTCTTGGCCCTCAGACTTCCAGGTGAATTGGCCCAAATTACCTTGCATCAATTCAAAAATATTTTTTTACTGCAAGTTTTTTTTTTTTTTTTTTAAATCTACCTTGATAAAGCTAATATTTCATATTTAGTGTGTGGTTTTAGGGATCTCAGCATGAACAAAAGACTGATGGCTCATTCTAACGTGTTAAACATGCACATATTTCAAATATTCCCTGTACTGAACATCAGTCTACGGCTGTCGATTCGTCTGTGTTTAGATATGTGGCCCCTGATGAAAAAAGTTTGGACACCCTTGATTTCATCCAATTTACAGACAAATAAATGACCCAATATGTGTCTCCACATCAGTATTTATCTGTGGAGTCATTTGTCTGTGTGTGTCGTACTGTCCCTGAACACACCACAGACTCACGTGTGTTTGTTTACACTCAGACTCAGATCCAAACACTGAGATTATTTTCTTTTTACGGACAATCGGTTTGAGTCTGGATTAAAAGGACATTTATTAGTTCAGACTTGTGATGTGGGAGGAGCCTGTGTGAGGCTGAGTGTTGGAAATATGTCGACTTTGAAGCTAGTTTTGGTTCGTTCTGATATGTTTGTGATTATCTGTTTTCTATTGGTCTATTGTAAAGTGATTATATTGGTCGTATATTTGTTACTGGACCTGCACTGATGTAAATGAGCTGTGAACAGACGTGTGAATTATGATACTTGTGCATATAATTAATTACCGCGACACGCAGCATTTACGGCTAAAGACTAATAGTGGTAGTTTATTTACTCGCTAGTAGTGATGGTCGGTCGTGAACGAAGCGGCTCTTAGATTCGGCTCTTTGAAGCGAACGACGGGAGCCTGATCCTTATTGGGAGCCGTGTTTTCTCTTTCTCTCACTTTTTTCTCTTCACGTCTCGTACAGACTCGTGGCAGCGGCTGAAAACGAAACTTTTAAAAAATCTGCGTGTGCATAGGAGAGAAAAAACGTGCATAAATATATTCAGCATAAAATCAATAAACCAGGACTAATCTTGAGGTCGAGAGAGGAAGAGAGATAGAGACCGAGTCCAGACACTCAGTCCTGGTTCAGTTCTGGTTTAGTCCTGTTTTACACATGGTTTAAATCTGTTTTAGTCCTGGTTTAGTCCTTTTTCAGTCCTGGTTCAGTTCTGATTTAGACCTGCTTTAGTCCTATGACATATCATGTAAAAAGGCAGAATAACAATAAATGTTGCCTAAATAAACCCAGTTTAAAATCCACCAGAGACAAACCTAAGTTTTTTTTAATAATTCAAGATTTACAGTGAATTTTTACATCACTAAATATATCGGCAGCTCCAACTCCCATTATATCGGTATCGTATCGGCCACATCAAAATCCATATCGGTCGGGCTCTAGTACAGACTTTAAAATGCATGTGCCGGGTTTTCAGGTTTGGTTCGGTGGGATTGTACCCGCGGTCAGTATTTATAACATCAGTTTAGTGGTCGTTTGTGGAAAAAATTAAAAAGACAAAAGTACAAAAAAATCGGAAGTGGTGGGAAATGTCAACAACACATAAAACTCCATTTCAGTCATTTAATCTCACCGTTTAATGGTCCTGTATTACACAAAATTCCCTCGTGAGCTTTAAGTCACGTTAGAATGTTCTTACCTCCTCAAAAACAGACCTGGAGTTGTGTTTTGTTTCATTCGCACATGTTTGAGTGACTCTTTATTATTACAATGTATTTTTAATTTAGTTTGTTCGTTTTTTAAATGTAATTCTAAATCTGTAGATACTGAGTGAGTGATGTAATCTGATTACTTTGGATTACTTGATTTGCTGTAGAGAAACAAAGACGAGGAAATCTTCACGTAAGAAGTTTTGTCTGATAAAAGAAAATAAAAAGTCCAGACTTTACTGAACCAAATTAAAAATATTATTGATAGAAGAAGAAGAAACACGTCCACACAGCAGGATTTAGTCCTGTTAAATCCTGTTTTAGTCCTGGTTTAGATCTAGTTTAGACCTGGTTTAGTCCTGGTTTAGATCTAGTTTAGACCTGGTTTAGTCCTGGTTTAGATCTAGTTTTAGAACCTGGTTTAGTCCTGGTTTAGATCTAGTTTAGACCTGGTTTAGTCCTGGTTTAGATCTAGTTTAGACCTGGTTTAGTCCTGGTTTAGATCTAGTTTAGACCTGGTTTAGACCTGGTTTAGTCCTGGTTTAGATCTAGTTTAGACCTGGTTTAGTCCTGGTTTAGATCTAGTTTAGACCTGGTTTAGTCCTGGTTTAGATCTAGTTTAGACCTGGTTTAGACCTGGTTTAGTCCTGGTTTAGATCTAGTTTAGATCTAGTTTAGACCTGGTTTAGTCCTGGTTTAGATCTAGTTTAGTTTAAGTCCTGGTTTTAGTCCTGGTTTAGAGTTTATCTAGTTTAGACCTGGTTTAGTCCTGGTTTAGATCTAGTTTAAACCTGGTTTAGTCCTGGTTTAGATCTAGTTTAGAGATCCTGGTTTAGATCTAGTTTAGACCTGGTTTAGTCCTGGTTTAGTCCTGGTTTAGAGATCTAGTTTAGAAGTCCTGGTTTAGTCCTGGTTTAGATCTAGTTTAGACCTGGTTGAGTCCTGGTTTAGATCTAGTTTAGACCTGGTTGAGTCTGGTTTAGATCTAGTTTAGACCTGGTTGAGTCCTGGTTTAGATCTAGTTTAGACCTGGTTGAGTCCTGGTTTAGATCTAGTTTATTTACCCTGGTTTATTTTTAGATCTAGTTTAGACCTGGTTTAGTCCTGGTTTAGATCCTGGTTTAGATCTAGTTTAGATGGTTTAGACCTGGTTTAGATCTGGTTTAGTCCTGGTTTAGTCCTGGTTTAGATGGTTTAGTCTAGTTTAGTCCTTTTAGACCTGGTTTATCCTGGTTTAGTCCTAGTTTAGAC